CCACTTTGAAAAAACAACTTCAGAAACAAAAAGGGGAGACAGTAAGGACCCCCCACAAGTACAACTGGCAAAAGCTATGTTTACTCTGAATTTTTAAAATTTCTCTGGTTCAAGTAATGAACCACATCTTGAATGTACTGTTGCAGAAAGGCATTATAATAATTCTCAAAGACCGAAACCTTTGAAGAATGTTCCAATTTGGTGGAAAGATATTCAAACTAATCAATGGCATCTAGGAACCCTACTAACATGGGGACGAGGCTTTGCTTGTATTTCTCCAGGCCCAGAAGAACGTCCTTTGTGGGTACCTGGTAGGTGTGTCAAACCCTACCATGAACAACAGCCCACCAAAAGTCGACCTGACTGGCAGCCAAAAGAAGAAAAACAACCAGCAGAAAAGATAGATGGCTGAGACCATTCACAGGATCAGATGTCTAACTCCAAACTCCAGCTCCTCCCTAGAGAGGATACATTCTCTGCAGTTGCGGAAGGACTCTTTTTAAAATCCCGTTAATTAGATAAAGACTTTGGTTGAAGGGTTTGCGGGTGCAATGGCAATTATGTTTATTATTTTTTGTTTGTTTTGTTTAGTTCTTAAATGTGGACAAAAAGCCCTTCGAAGGGCATTGAATGAAAAATTCAATGTCTGTGTTTCTCATGCTGCAAAAAACAGAAAGGGGGAGATGTTGCCACACAGCTGTGCAGCCGTCTGTCCCCCCACACTCAACCCTAAACTGACCCTTTTGAGGACACTGCCCATACACCTTACATATCCCTGTTTGGCCCCAAAAGATGGCTGGTTAGTCAATGACGGGTAAGATTCCTTGAGGAAGGAACAGCCTAAGACAGGCACAGTCGCATGGGGGCCATGAGGAGAAATCTTGGGGCTGATGGAGATGGGCATGGGTCCTCACCCACCCCCAAAGAGACTGGAGGTTTTCTACCCCTGTAGCTACATTCCTTCTGGCAACCTGCTTGGGAAGTGACCTGATGATCTGTCCTCAGCATAATAATCTTATCTTCCTTGGGTCTTATCTCTGCTGGTGGACTCTTGGTAATAGCAGCTTGCAGGCATGGGTAATCTGACTTGAGCAAATTCTCAGGAATGAGACTCACAGGGTATGGAGAGAAGAATGCTACTTCCGGGTATGTGGAGAAATAAAAGCGGCGTGTTGGCCTGATTCAGGGCTCTTAGTTCACTGTAGGGAGCCGGAGGTTTGTAGTAAGCCTGAGAGCTGGAGGTTTATAGTAAGGGTTAAGCCTGAAAGCTGGCAGGCTGACAGGCTCTCAGGCCCGGGTGAGCAGCGTGGGAAGGTTGGCCGCTGAGGAGAAAACAGCCAACGGCCTTGAAAGCTACAGAGTAGAATGCCATCCTACTAACAGTTTCTGCTTGTTGTTTTGCTTTAACCCTGGGAAGATTGCTTCCCTACACCTTATGGAAAGCCCGGGGGAGCTGTTCTCTGGGAGGAGGGGACTATTCCCTCAAGTTCCCAAAACCCCCCTACCTAAGAAAAGTTACTTTTGCTATAAAAGCTGTGTGTAAACAATAAACGGGGCCACTCTCTGCTATCAGCATTGGGTGGACCTCCTGTCCCCAGCTTTCGTCTCTAGTCTCTTTCTTTTCCAGTCTCCCACCCAATCCTCTCAGGTACCCTCTCAGTAGACTCCTGGCTGAGGAGTCAGGAGTGCTCGTTTGATGCACAGGTCACTTCAGTCCAAGAGGCTGGAGACCCTTGGCCCTTTGCTCATTTAACTCTTGGCTGGTGTTTCTTTTTTTTCTTAACCCTTTGCTGCCCCCTCTTGTTCTCCCACTGCTCATGTCGTGCGGGATGCGAAATGAGGGGTGTAAATGTCTAACTATTATGTTGCTTTGTACACCTGAAACTAATTTTAAAAAGTGAATGATCTAAGCACATCAATTAAAAGATATAAATTGTCAAATTGGATTAAAAAATTAAACAAAACCAGACCCCAGCTGTATGGTATCTACAAGAATCCCACTTTAAATACAATGATATAGGTAGGTTAAAGGTTAAAGTAGGAAAAGTATACATGACAAATACTAATCTAGAGAAAGCTTTAGTGGCTATATTATCATCAGGCAATGTATGTTGTGTCCCGCACGACACGAGCAGTGGGAGAATGAGAGGGGGTGGCGAAGGGTTAAGAAATAAAAGAAACAGCAGCCAAGAGTTAAAAGAGTGTGGGGCCAAGGGTCTCCAGCCTCGTGGACTATGAGCCCCGAATCGGGCCGACATACCGCTTTTTATTTCTCCACATACCCAGAACAGCATTGTTCTCTCCACAATCTGTGAGTCTCATTCCTGAGAACTTGCTCAAGTCAAATTACCCATGCCTGAATGCCTGCAAGCTGCTATTATGGAGCCTGCGGTGATAAGACAGATGCTCTTCCTTCACACACCCTATATGCAAACCACCCCAGGAAGATAAGATTATTATGTTGAGGAAAGATACTATCACACCATTAGGTCACTTCCCAAGCAGGTTGAGGGAAGGAATGTAGCTACAGAGGTAGAAAACCTCCAGTCTCTTTGGGGGCCGAGTGAGGACTCATGCCCACCTCCATCAGCCCCGAGATTTCTCCTGATGCCCTCCACCCGACCGTGCCTGTCTTAGGTTGCTCCTCCCACGAGGAATCTTACCCGTCATTGACTAACTGGCCATCCTTTGGAGCCAAACAGGGAGACACAAGGTGTATGAGCACTGTCCTCAAAAGGGTCAATTTAGGGTTAAGTGCGGGAGGGGGGGGGCGGGGCAGATGGCTGCACAGCTGCACGGCAACAAACTTAGACTTCAGAGTGAAGAAAATTACCAGGAATAAGGAAGAACATTACATAATTATAAAAGGTCAAATTCATCAAGAAGACACAATAATCCTAAATATGATTGCATACAACAGAGTTTCAAAATAAATGAAGCAAAAATTGGTAAAATTAAAGAACTGGATCCATAATTACAATTGGAGACTTTAACACTCCTCTCTCTGTAATTAATACAATAGAAGATCAGTAAAGATATAGAAGACTTGAACAACACTATCAACCAGCTTGACTATTTGTGATTTGCCCCTCTCATAAACCACATTTCTGGCCTCTCAATTCTTTTCCTATACTCTTTTTATGAAGACTGAATCACAGTATTGTTTAATCTTTTGCTTACTCTAAGGTGAATTTATTCTCATATGAATAAATATAGTAAAGTTTTCTTCCTGAATTTTTTATTTTAGAAATACAGAAAGTTGCAAAAATAGAAAGAGTTCTTTTATACCTTCCACCAGCTTCCCCTAATGTTAACATTTTATGTAACCATGATGTATTTATCAAAACTAGGAAATTGCTGTTGGTTCAATATTACTGACTGAATTACAGACTTTATATATGAATTTTATGTTTTCCTTAAAGTCTATTTTTGTTCCAGAATGCCAGATTGCATTTATTTGTTGTGTCTCCTTAGTCTCCACCAATCTGTGGACAGTTCTTCAGTCTTTCCTTGTCTTTCATGACCTTGACACTTCTGCAGAATATTGCTCAGTTATGTTGCAGACCATTTTTCAGTTTGGGTTTGCCTGGTGTTTTTCATTATTAGATTGAGGTGCAGCATTTTGGGCAAAAATTCCACAAAAGAGATGGTTAATAAAGTTAGTTTTTCCTTTATATTATAATGAAAAATACATATTTGGGGAGGTTCTTTGAGAATTAGCCCGTCACCTTTGACTGAGGCTGTGCTGGGTGATCTCTGCTGGTGCCCTGGGCCTCATACCCTGCCTGGGCTACTCTGGGTATCGTGCCACCCACCCTGGGTGTTAATATGGGATGCATGGAGCATGGGTATTTATTTTTTGTGTGTGTGCAAATTGTTATTGGAATTATGTTATACACACATAATTGACAACGCTTTTCAAAGCACATTTATCTGCTTGTTACTGATTTTTTTTCCCCCTACATCTTCCTTTTTTTTTTTTTTAAGATTTTTATTGGGGAATTGGGGGAGGGGAACAGACAAGTTGCTGTCCTTTTGTTCTTCAGTCTAGTTGTGGAAGATGTCGCTTCACTGGTCCATGTTGGTATTATCACTGTGCTCTTCCCGGCTGAGACAATCGTTAACCGGCCATTGGACGGCCGCTAACAGTGGCTCACGCTTCAGCTCACTGTAGCTTATGGCACCCCACTGCAGCCTATGCCGCAGCTGGTGGTGACTCATGGCAGCCCAGTTCCAGGTTGAGCTGTTGTTTACCATCTTAGCTGTGGAGGGCGCAGCATCACTGGCCCATGTGGGATCCAACCTGCCGCCCTCAGGCTCCAACCCAACTCAACCAGCGAGCCACTCGGCCTGGGGCCCCATTACTGATTTCTTACATATTGACTTTTCCGTAACACATAATTTAGCTGTACTTATTAACCTATCTAAAATCATTGCTTAAAAAACAATAAAAATAAAATCGTTAACTGTCCTACTAATTGAAAAAACATGTAGCTTCTGTTTTGATTTCTAAGTAAACAATTAAGTGTCAATTAATAATGAGGCACTTATCTGAATTTTAACATATTTTTTCTCAAAATAAAAAATTATGCTATGGAATTACTCTTGCAAACTATTCAGTAAATGAAAATAAGGCCCTACAATAATGATACCCTCGGATTAAAACCACAAGAGAAAATACATATCTTTGAGTCCATATGGGTATCAATGAATAACTGAATGAGGAAATAAGTAAATGGAGAAGGGTCAGCCCTTCCGGAAAGCACTGACTTGGCGTCCCGCGGGGTCAGGGGCGGAGGGGCTGCGGTCAAAACCCACCCAGCAGTAGGAGAAGACTGGGCACCAGGATCCGGGAGGTGAGTCCAAACCCCCAGGCCAAAGGGGTCAGGACGCCAGCGGCCCTGGGCTAAAGGGAAAGGTCAGGAAAGCCCACCTCGCTCCGCACCGGGAGGGGCGCAGGTCGCGGCGCTTCCAGGGACTCGCACATCCGGGTACTGGCGCGCACGCGCACTCACCCGAACATGGCTGCCGTCACTGCTTGCTGGACAGAGGTGAGACCCGCCGAACCTGTCGACCTTTTGGTGTCTCAGGTCACCCCATGAGGCCGCGGGGCGTGGGGAGGGTCCGCTGGGTCCCGGTGGGTCGTAATCACGCGTTCGTGGGCGGGTTCCAGGCGGGCTGTGGGCGCGATCGGCTCACAGGGTCGGCATCGGCCAGGGCCACGGCTGCCCTTGCGTTGTGGACGCTCCTCCGCTAACGAGGACGGACCGGGCGCGTGAGGATATCCTGCGGGTGTGGACCCCCCCCCCCACGGCTGGTGTAAACGTCCTCCGGCTTCCTTTCGTACCTTCGCGCAGCTCAGCGGCTCCGCGCTCGTATCAGCCCGCCCTTCCTCAAGGACCGTTTACCCCCGCCCTTGGAATCCTGGCTGGACCACTTGGGCGACCCCAGCCTACCGTTCTTATGTTGCTTGGTGGTGAGAGGACTTCTGTCGGCGTAGTGGGTGTCTGGCCACTTGGCCGCGTTGCGTCCGGTGACCTCTGCCGTTTCCCACTGAGTCCCGCAGGTGTTGCATCACCTGTTTTTATCTCACCTAATATCTGCCAAGTCAGGTCTTGCTGCAGTTTCCTATGAGGGCCGCGTTTTTCCACCTGCTTAGTGGCCGTTTCGCTTTCCTTTTTCCTGGTTTAGTGTTTCATTTTCTTAGCTCCCCAGTAGTGCATGATAAAAGTTTGTATACACATAGAAAAGTTGAAATCCTCTTGCGACCTTAATACCGGCCCATGAACATCAGCTGTACTTGCCATATCTCATATATTTCCCTCTGTCCATCCTTTTACTTACCCATTAAGTGTTTTTTGGGGATACGTTCAAATTAAGTGGCAGTTATCACTGTGCGTCCCCCTCAGTCCCTCACTATGCTTAACATCAATTAGAGTTCAGTACTATTGCTTTTTAAATTTTTTGAGGCAACATTGACTAACACAGAAATGCACAGATCTTCATTGTGCCTCTGGATGAGTTTTGACAAATGCAACCCTAACCTTTATCAAAATTACCTTCTTCCCGGAAAGTTCCCTTATCCTTTGCCAATTAAAAAATTTGGTTGTAAAAGACTTGATCTTGTGAAAATGTTTTGAATACCAACGCTTTGTTTTTTATCTCCTGCAGCAACTAGCTTCTCTCTGTTCTATTGTTTGTTTTCTGTCCCTTACCACTCAACTTTTTATTTTGAAAAGTTGCACATCTACAGAAAAGTTGCAGGAATAGTTCAGTGAACACTTGTAAAACCATCCAGAGTCTCAAGTTAACAATTTACCACATTAGCTTTATCTTTTCTTCCTGCCTCAAACACACATACACACGTTCTCTTTTTATTTAACACACACACACACACACACACACACACACACACACACCAAGAAGCTAAAAGTTTGATTTTTCACATAATGATACTATCTTGGAAGAGCAGGGCAGGCTTCCCAAGGTGATAAAAAAAATAGCCTGAGACAGCATAAATACGCAGCTGCAGTGTTGCCATGGAGACATGGGGGGCAGTTCGAGGAATGTAATTGATAATGTTGTGAATATTTTGTAGGGTATCAGGTGGTCACATGTCTTGCATCATGGATGGGGAAGAGGCTTGATCACTGCACTGTACACCTGAAGCTGAAGTTGTATAATAGATATGTATGATATTGGGGGGAAATGGGGTGG